CAAAATAATTCAAAGATTATACACTAGCCGTTCAATAAGTAATCATATAAGATTAAGATGAAAACAAATAAAGAAATCTAAATGTACTATAGCTTAAATGAATGTAGGAAAGGGCTAAATTTCTACGAGTCTTGACCAAGTAGCGAGTTAAAATATGCATGATTTGTCAGGTAACATGGCCGTGGACTTGAATTTTATATATTTACACAGAAATTTTGTAAATAGGTCTTTTCTCCTTTTAAATAAAAAGTGAAACAGTTTGCAGGTTTTTACTTTGACTTCAGAGGAGGGAGGATTGGTGACAATTACTTTCGAAATCAACATGGTGTCCTAAGCCTTGGGTCGTCATGTTTGTATGTTTGTAGTGGATGATGTACTGTCAAAACTAAAAGGTTTTTTGTTTAACAAAGGAAAAGTAAGAGAAGCAATCATTTGAATAGGGAGTTCTTTACATTTTCATAGAGAGAAAGATTTGTTCCTTTCTTCAGGTAAGAATAGTGATTGTGTTCACAAGCGTTTCGATCTAGTTGAAGTTATCACGTAAATAAATGTCTACGCTCTCACTGTTGGATCTTATTGAAAGTGACATGTGAAGGTGAAATGTCTTATCAGTATCAATTAGCATTCCTTTTATATTGATGTTTCTCATTTATAATTATTGTGCGAAACGACCTCTAAGAATTGTGCGAACGGTCCAAAACTTGCGCTAAAAGACTTATGCGAAAAGTCTTTTGTGCGAAATGTCCTGTACTGCTCATTAACAGTTATGGGAGGGGGGATTTTTTACCCATAACTCTGCTAGATACCTTAGCATGGCCATGTTTCCCAGTCTTTGAAGTGGACATCTCAACTATTTTGCAGGGACGATTTTTCATGACAACATAACCATTCTTGCGAAGGGCAGAGCATTGCTGTGGATAGGTGTTGGAGGCCCCAGATTCTCCTTGTCCTTCATACTCATCATCAGCCATGATAACTGCAACTAAAAAAAGTTTACAAAGACCTTGTTACATCTCACTGAAACATAACTTCCTTAGGAAACTTTTCCTCAGTCAGAAGTTTCATCAAAGGGAGTTGTTAATATTTATGTTTGAGGTTTCCAACTTAAACTAGAGCAGAACAAGAGGAAAGCTCAAGGAACCATACAGAGGTTGACTCTAGAAGTAACATACTACACAAATAAATACTGAATAGCGCAGCAAAATTTATGTTCTCATCTTATATATTTATTTGTTTTCTAATCACTGCATATAAGAAAAAGGATCAACCTATTGAACAATTAAAAATGAAAATGTAGGGAAAGGAAACATTTTCTATCACACTATTCATCGGGCAGTGAAGATTTCAGATTTCATCCAAATGTCACGTTGGGTAAAAATGAATGATTCCGATTTCTTGCAACAAAACGGAAAAAAAAATAAAGGTGACCCCTTAATACTTTTTATTTAACCTTGAATTTCACCTAAAAGGAATACTTCTGAAATTTGTAAGTTAATTTAGAAGATTTGAAAGACTAGATTCAAAAGTCAGCAAAAATTGAACCTGGGGGTTTTATTCTACGATTCCCCTAATATTTGGAAGTGGTATTCGATGATGTATTACCGCTGAGACTACTACCATGGATTATTTATCTTAAATGGGGCTTCATTCAACAAGGAATCTCACATAAACTACTGTCAAATTCAAGAAAGCACAAGGTGGGTGACGATTCGCGTTTCCGCAAATGTCGGGCAAGATTTTCATATCACGTGCAGGGCTTGGTAGAGGACCGGCTTTAATTCATTTTACTGGGAAACAAATTCAAAAAGGCCTGAATAAAACATACTCTAAAGAATAGATCAGACAGATGTGGAATAAAAGCGACCGTCCCAAAGAATTCATGTTAATAAAGGTTAAAGATCGATACATCATATAGTAAAAGCGAGCCACTTCATTAACTTCGTCGTACGTACGAAGGTCCTTACTAAGAACGACCTTCGATATTTTATCCCTGAACTCAGCATGCAAGAGCAGCAATATTTCGCCATATAATGGCCGAAAAAATGACAGAATAGTAAGAAATAACAAGTAAATTCTACGATAACAGCTGGCAGCCCAGTTCTTGACCCACAAAACAGTGAATTCAGGCACTTACCGTTGAACAGTGATTCTCGCAACGTGGTTTAGAAAGGAAGGCAATGGGGTCTGTGCCTTGCTGAAGGGGGGTGCTTTCAATTGCTGATTGCCCAATCCATGACGGAAGAAGAGTAGAAAGTTCTCGTATGTGTGACGGAAATGACATCACTGCTGGTTAAAACTCTTGCAAAATTGCATATTGCGGCAAAAATTCTACGTTGAAGGTAAACGATAATTTCGTAACCCACGGTATATAGTCCCTGGTTGGTATGCTCACAAAGGAAAAAAAATACTGAAGAATTAATACCTCCTTTATCATCTGATAATTTTGATTGCGATTATCAGCGATTTCGTGCCCTACGTCGGTGGACTGGGATTTAGTTTTTGGATCGGTGGGCTTCACTGATATGGTGCAGCTTCGACATTTATAGAGTGATTTTGGCCACAAAAGCTTCAGTAATTCTCTCTTTTTTTCTTTCTTTCAATTGTTTAAGTCGTGTACAATATGTACACGTACTGTACTGACAGGGGAGCCTTTGAAGTTTTTTAATAGTAGATGGTTTCGTTATACTTTTAGTACTCCTCTGATTTGAAGAGTTAACAACTTTTTGCCTTCTTAGTTTTTAAGTAATACCCCATCTCTTTAATTCCTAAAGAGGAAGAATTGCATCGCAAGAAAACAAGTTTAAATCAAAGAGTTTATTCAAAACTGCTAATCATTTTTACATCTGAAATCTAATTACCATTAATTCTTTTTCTTCAAGGTATTTGCCTATTTAAGTTTTTGCATTGACTTTAACTGCTCCTCCCGTGCCTTTTTTTTGTTCTTACTACATTTTGATGTCATCTGTGGTCAATTACTAAACAGAAACACAGCAAAATGGAATCTATTTGTTCAATCTTTACCGACATCGGAAGTTATTTGCAGGAATATGACATCCAGAGGGCAAAGTGAGACTCAGAAATTAAAGCAAAATCTAGGAGAACAGCTTGATCGCCTTGTGGCTCAGCTGTCTGATTTGGAAGAATGCAAGTAAGTTGTTTGTTTATTTATCACCTTTTTTAGTTGGTTCAAATAGGATGTTCAAAATTTTTATCTTAAGCAAGTGTCAGTTGTCAGTGATCTATTAGAACTGATTATTGATGAACTGATGATTGACAAACAGATTGACTGAATGACTGACTCACTGACTCACTGACTGACCAAGGTATGCAAGAATCCCAGT